GGGAGTGTTGGGCGAGTGCACGAAGGCGACGCAATGTCTGCAATTGCAGAGAACACACCCAAACATCTGATCGGATTTCTCCCTGCTATTATTCTGCTGAACCGCTACTATTCTTCTCATCGACCGAAGGGCGGGAACGCGAACTACGGCAACAACGGGGCTGCCACTATGCCCTGGATGTCGAGATTGGGGGAGTGAGAGGGTCCCTTTTACAACCCATGAGGGCCGCTGAGTATTAATAAGGTAAGAACTCAATAAACTTTTTTATCGTGAATGGTGCCTTTAAGAATGGTTAAGCATACATCTGTGAAGGTTCTACAGTTGTCAATGTCTTTATACGAACGCAGCTACGTCAGTGTCTAGCGATGTCGTGCTTCTTGATAGTACGGACGCCACGGTGGACATTCTGCCGTGCTTATGAGAACATAAAATTTCTTTATCACTGTCGGCGTTCTAAGAGATGCAACTCTGATGCCACGGCTAGAGATGAGGAGCCTTGATCGTGGTGCGACTGTACATACACCTTGAAGGGTTATAAATTCCCAACAATTCACTCTCGTCTAAGCAGAACGGATCTTCTAGAAGGCAATAAAGATGTGAAGTGAATTAAACGGAACATCATTTAGGAATTCAATGGCTCATTACCAGTTCGAACGGATCATTTCGACGTAACCCTCTGGCCACCGTCACCATACCACTATAACGACAATACACTGGAGTTTCTCAATCCTTATGGAGATCCCCAGCCTCTGCTACCTTCTTGTGATGAAAGTTATGGACAGTCGATGTTCCTAAGAGCCGATGTTGGACATGAATTTCTCTAAAGTTCTACAGCATCCAGTAACAACAATGTGTTTCCTCTGCAAAATCATTCGATATGTTGACTATCGATCTCTAGGAATGGATTGGAAGCATTTGCTGGTCACTCGAAGCTTTCTCATAACTTGGATTTTTTCTAGAGCCCTAGTAAAAATGTTGTAAATATTATTATTCACAGCTCAAACTCGCACATATGTCATTTGCTTTGCTTTGTTCTACTGCAAAAAACCAAAACCCAATTTGTTTCTCTGTGACATAGTTCCCAATGCCAGATCTTTAATTAAGTTTTGATGGACTTATGATTGATTGAAAAAGATTTTTCACAGTCCTGAGAGAACCCTCGTACTAAGTCACAAAGTAAGAGCGGCGTTCTTTTCTGTTCCTTAAGTTGTACCACACTAGAAAAGTTGATTGAAAAAGATCAAGAGAGAAGGGCGACCTAAGTGGCAGAGGTATGAGCTCATATTAGGTTGATGCATTATTATTTTTCGCGGCCTCTTTTCCCTTGATAAAATTAATCTTTTGAACTCGGGATTTTTGTAGAAATGATTTTCTCGCTTTCCCTAACAGAAATGTGTTTAAAAAGTCATATTCATATGCACCAAATTATGCTCTATTACTTCGAGAAATGTTGGAAGGCGGCACACTCATAACGTGATCACAACGAAGTTCTCGGCGATGGAACAGTCAGCCAAAGCCGAATAAAGAATGGAATCTGCTTCTACGGTCGCCCTATTCACCAACAGAAACTCCTTTGGATTATCGCGTTGATCGCTCGTTGAAAAATTGGTTAACGAGCAGAACCTTTGATGAAGTGAATGGCTCGATGGCCAACGTCGAGGCNTTATTTGAGCATGTCTTTGCTAGATATTTCTATCGCTTTTTCAAGTAAAATTTGCTGAAAAAAAAATCCGCAATAATTATGCATCATTCTAATAATTCCGTCAAGAGAGTGAGTGAATAAGGCAAACGCAAGAACCCAACTCGACAGTTGCAGGGGAAGAAAGTGATGAACTGCAGTTCAGTTGTTTAGTTTACGGTGATTAGTTCCGAATCGAATATTTGAATAACTCGACTGCGCATATTTTTGTTATTAACCGCCATAAATTTACAAAAATAAGTGTCCTATGCCCTAACCGGCGAGAAACTTTTGCCAACTCCGCAAATCTTGAGACAGTTCTTGAGACAACAGTTCTCGATACGCTCAAACAGCGATAGATGCCAATCGCTTGGATACCTTGAGGAAGCAAATCGGAGATAAAGTTAAGATAAGCGTTGGCTCCATCCCCCATGGGAAAAGCAGAATTTATGTGGTATTCGAGGGAGAGGCTCACAGCAAATCAGATAGAAACAAAAAGGATACATTAGCACTGAAAAGCGCGGGGCTAAGCTTCACCCTGCATGACCTGCGGATTTCACACGTGACCTTTGGACCTACAAAGAGTCTGAAGACTGCTGAGGAATGGCAATCCACTACACAAGCGATAGCTCCTGCCACATGTAAACAAAACGCTATCAGGAGTCGAAGTATAAAAGCCATACTACTCAGGGAGGTCATTTCATTTCTGAAGATTAATCGTCCACGGTAGGCGGAATCATCGGATTGCCGAGTTCTTCACCTCACCGCTGCTGTGCCTTTATTGTAGTGCTGACATGGCGGCTAAAGTTGGACGTCGTACTCTTCGACAACGCCGTCGAACTGTTGAGGCTACATACGAGGAACCAGAGGAGAAAGCTCCTTCATCTGATCAAGCGGCTCCAAAAAAGGTAGGACTTTCAACGAACCGCAGAAAAGCGATCTACATAACCCCACTGTTTCTGCCATGGGGTCCAGTGCGATCGCGATATTTCGAGATTTCGACCCCTAGTAGTTAAGAGTTAAAAATTTTTCCTTATGAAGGCGTTCTGGAGATGGGATTTCTATATTTGGGCGGTTCAGTTTGGCAAGAAGATTCTGGAACATTTGACACATACCGTTTCCTCTGAGCTACTTTCATAGTCCGCGATTTGGCCCGCGAGCGAGCGAGAGAGCGGAGGCGCGGCACTTGCCAGTTGTTTTCAACTGGTCCTTGGTCGGTACCGCCGAACGCGGCTCCCGCGCTCCCTCCCGGACTATGAAAGCAGCCTATGAAATCAGGGCCATTTGGAAAGACTCGTCGAGCATTTAGCTTTATTACAGAGCCCAGGTACGTATAGGCGAAGTGGACCGAATCTACACCCCGAGTTAGAAAAGCATCTCAGTACATTTGTCGAAACATTCACTACCTTAGGTACGATCTGCGATTGAAATCATTATTGATTTGGTCTGATCAAGATGGGCGAGTACACTGATTGTTAAGGAGTAGACGGTCTCCGCAAACAGTTCAGAGAAAGCCTCGTTTCTTACCGACCTCCAGAGGACAAGTATAAATTCAAAGCATTTGAGAGCCATCCTGACAAGAATAGATATATGGTGAGGCAAAAATTAATGAACTTTAATCTGTTTTATATGACTGCTAGCCGTGGGCCTCTCTACCACATAGGGTTTGCAAGTGCCCAAGAAGTTACCTCTATCTGAGGCTCTCCCTTGAGGTCGCTGATTCAATGAAGTGTAGGAACATACAAGTCCTATGCCTTCAGGAGGTACACGGGAAAGGAACCAAAGGTCAGAGATACCGGAGAAAGTGTCAAGTTCTTCTACAACGTAGAGGACGCCAAACGAAATGGTGTGAAATGGTGATAGCAGTGACGGAGTCCCTCAAAGACTCTCTCTGCCGTTAGCAGGATCAGCAGTCGAATCAGGGGCGTGAGGATAGACACCAAAGAGGTGTGCACGATCGTAATATCCGTGCCACAAGTCTGTTGCCCCGAGAAAAAGATGAGTTCCATTTGAACCTCGACGATGCAATCAGATCAGTTCCAGGAGGGGACTATCTCACCTGTAGGGGTGATCTGAATGAGCACGCTTCTCACGCATGATAGCTCTGAACATCCCCTTGCCCTTCCCATTATCATGATCTCTCCATTTGAATCCTCCATGAGTTTATAGGACATCGTCTGTTTGGATGAAACACGAGTTCGTTTGACGTTGAACGTGCCACCTGCTACTGATTATATTCATGCTAATTGGATCAAATTCGAAGGTCACGATAAGGAGTACATAGCTACTCAGGTTCGTGGGATTGCTAACAATCTTAACTCCAGATTCAGATCTTCGAGCTTTCATTATCATTGAGAGACTGAAACTTTCAAGGCCCCTCTCGACAATACAATCGAAGATTTCTGGCGTATGGTCTTTCAAGTAGGCTCTCCACACATAGTGAACCTCACAAAGGTAACTCTTCTTCCTTGACTGACTACCCTCAAGGCAAACCAAAAGTGAACGTTTGTCTCTTTGTGCCATGGCTGCTCTCATCTCGTGGAGGCTTACCGGCCATACTGCCCGCGACTGCTACCAGCCGATCGGATCAAACCGTTCGTATTTGTCGTCACGGGTGACAACATAATCGTTACAGAGAGGGCGAAAGTGACCTCGATGGCAAACATGCAGAAGATGTGTGGATGGACTAGTCAAGGTCCATTTCATCGCATCAGCTTTTCTCTTTGGCCCACCAAAACAAACTATCCCAACATGATAAAAAAAAGGTTCATCAGGTGTCAGCCAATCCACATCACCCATGAGACGTGGCAAAGAGAAGAAAGTATCGGCTAAACAGATTGGAAGGATTCGGTAGACCATGAGCAGGGCTCTACCATGAAAGGATTTCAACCCGTGCACGGTCGAATTGTAGCCCCCGTGCAAATCCAGTAGAAAAACTGGGCCCAGTACAACTCAGCAACCTGACTCCTAAGGGTGTAAAACTTTCGCAAGCAAGTTATAGGGGTGACTACGATCCGAACTTATGGTTCACATCGTTCTTGAACTATTGAAAGTGAAAGCTGGAATTGA